CAGAAATAATGCTGACAGCTGCCTCATTGTGTCGGCATTTTGTGTTATCTTAACCTTTTACAAGGGCTGAAGTGTACTTGTGCCCGCAGGAGTAGTGGGCCCATCCGTAGGAACAGAACGGGTATCGCATCCACACCCAAGGTTACGTCACCGTGAAATAATGATTATTGGAAGAAAATTCCTGAAAACAAAACTGTTTTGTTTCTATAGAGATGGAACCCATAAAGGACAGAGTTATCAATCGCACTTCATAAGTGAAATTGGATAGCCACAACAATCGTGGACTAAGTAAGTCAACACATTTTTGCAATCGTTGCGAGCTTTTGAATGAAAACCGATCATTTGAAAAAGCACGGGGGGGGGGAAAGGGGAATTCACGGGGAGGGCGTTAAAAGGAAACTAGTTACTTAACAAAAATCAGGTCTGTGAGGAAGCTGACTTTAAAAGGCGTTGCCTACTAACTACAGGTAGTCCTCAACTTAACAACCACTTGTTTAGCGACTGTCTAAATTTACCGTTTTCAAAGGTTTTCTGGGGACATTCAACTGATTGCTTAAAGCAGTGCTTCTTAACCTCGGGCAGCTTGAAGCTGGGTGGACTTCAACTCCCAGAATTCCCCAGCCAGGCAGGGTGGGGGGGGGTCTTTCCAGAAGATTCCATGCTGGCTGGGGAATCCTGGGAGTTGACGTCCACCCAGCTTCACGTTGCTAAGGTTGAGAAACAGCGGCTTCAAAGGTCAGTGTAGTTTAGGACATTTCAAATATTTCTTGTGAAAGGAAACAGGCACTCTGGTTAAGGGTCAATGCCTCCTCTTAATGTGATGGAGAAGCTAATTTGGGCTTCTTCTTTCTCGTTAGCTGATGAACCAATTATGGTGGGAACGGTGCAAGGTTTTGCTACTTGGGATTTCCCGCGGGGCTAGAACATCTTAAAAGTTTCCCGGATCTTCAACAGTTGCTAGTCACTTTGTGCGAGTCCTGCCTATTTAGATATTCCCCAAAGGCCGTTTTGAGTATTGAAAGTATCTGCCACTTGATTTCCCCCCCCCCCTTCCAGCTGGTGACGAGAATTGGGCCTAGAGACCGATGACAAAGAATTGGACCATAAGCAACCAACTGAATTTTTTGGATTTTTTGGGGGTCAAGGAAAGGATGTTATTATTGTTTACTTGTTCATTTGAGAATGGGATGGAATGGAATGAAATAGAATAGGACTGAATAGAAGAATAGAATAGAATAGAATAGAATAGAATAGGGAATAAGAATAGGAAATAAGAATAGAATAGGATAGGATAGAATAGGGAATAAGAATAGGAAATAAGAATAGAATAGAATAGAATAGAATAGAATAGAATAGAATAGAATAGAATAGAATAGAATAGGAAATAAGAGTAGAATGGAATGGAATGGAGTGGAGGAATAGAATGGAATGGAATAGAATAGAATAGGAAATTAGAATAGAATAGAATAGAATAATGGAATAAAGTACAAGAATAGAATAGAATAGGGAATAAGAATAGGAAATAAGAATAGGATAGGATAGAATAGGGAATAAGAATAGGAAATAAGAATAGAATAGAATAGAATAGAATAGAATAGAATAGAATAGAATAGAATAGAATAGAATAGGAAATAAGAGTAGAATGGAATGGAATGGAGTGGAGGAATAGAATGGAATGGAATGGAATAGAATAGAATAGGAAATAAGAATAGAATAGAATAGAATAATGGAATAAAGTACAAGAATAGAATAGAATAGAATAGAATAGGTAATAAGAATAGAATGGAATGGAATGGAGTGGAGTGGAATGGAGGAATAGAATGGAATGGAATGGAATAGAATAGAATAGAATAGGAAATAAGAATAGAATAGAATAATGGAATAAAATAGAAAAATAGAATAGAATAATGGAATAAAGTACAAGAATAGAATAGAATAGAATAGAATAGAATAGGTAATAAGAATAGAATGGAATGGAATGGAATGGAGTGGAGTGGAGGAATAGAATGGAATGGAATGGAATAGAATAGAATAGGAAATAAGAATAGAATAGAATAGAATAATGGAATAAAATAGAAGAATAGAATAGAATAATGGAATAAAGTACAAGAATAGAATAGAATAGAATAGAATAGAATAGAATAGAATAGAATAGAATAGAATAGGTAATAAGAATAGAATGAAATGGAGTGGAGTGGAGTGGAGGAATAGAATGGAATGGAATGGAATAGAATAGAATAGAATAGAATAGAATAGAATAGGAAATAAGAATAGAATAGAATAGAATAATGGAATAAAGTAGAAGAATGGAATAGAATAGAATAGAATAGAATAGAATAATGGAATAAAGTAGAAGAATAGAATAGAATAGAATAGAATAGAATAGGAAATAAGACTAGAATAGAATAGAATAGAATAGAATAGAATAGGAAATAAGAATAGAATAGAATAGAATAGAATAGAATAGAATAGAATAGAATAGAATAGAATAGAATAGGAAATAAGAATAGAATAGAATAGAAAGAATAGAATAGAATAGGACTGAATAGAGTGGAACGGAATGGAATAGAATATAAAATAATGGAATAAAGAATGGAATGGAATAGAATAACAGAGCTGCTCAGGCAGGAGAGCCTATCCCATTTCACCAAATGGTTATCCAATCTCTTTTTAAAAACTTCAACAGCATTGAAAAAAGCGACTTGCGACCAATCCTTGCACTTACAACTGTCACACATCTCCAGGGCCAGGCGGTTAAAACTGGGGAGCTTAGTAACTGTCATGTTTTTATGACCTTCGCAGCGCCCTGAGGTCATATGATCACCCTTTGCGATCTCCCCAGCCGGCTTCTGACAAACAAAGTCAATGGAAGTCAAATTCACTTAACTGATTTGCTTAACTATGGCGAAGAAAGGAAAAAAAAAAAAGAAAGATCCTAAAAATAACTGCAACTCACTGCCCGGCCTAGCAATGGACATTTGGGATTTAATTGTGGTCACATAAGTGGAGGACCAGCTGTATTATCTCTTGCAGTGGCGTCTTGAAGACTTTCTGTGGGATGAAAGCGGCATGCAATAGTTTTGAAACAAGAGTCTTATCCCTAGCAAGGTAAGAACTTCAAGAGTGTTGTCTGTGATTAGCAAACTAGGTGTCTTGGCAACCTATCATTGCCATAGCCTTCTAGGCAAACTACAGGCTATGGTAAATGTATGACTATGTTTAATTTGCCTGTGGTTTACGAGTTAATTCTGAAGTAAGAAAGAAGAATAGGGACATGTACTGCAGTTCAAGGCAGGGGTGGGTGGGGTTGGGAATGAACATGTTTTGCCCGGCTGTGATTTTCACCAGAATTGTCCCTTTCCCAAGTAATAATTGCCTATGAGGAGGAGAAAAAAAATCACACACCCATTCTGATTTTAATGTACCTTGTCTGCTGGTTGGTTTGTTTTCCGCTAGTTTATTAAATGTAACTCTGCATTTAAACTGTGGGCTGCATGGTCACCAGATCGCAGCAAAGCAACAGAATTGCTGACTGTCTTAACAGGATTGTTGAACAGACAATTGAATTAGCAAGCAACATGTGGACTTGATTCATCTCCAGGAATCCCTTAGCCAGTATTCACATCGTTAGGTGCAAATCTCATTTGAGAGGTGTTAGGAGCCACGCCATAATAGACTATCTGGGGCAGGATGAGCAGATTCCATAAATGGAGCCTGCATTTCTTCAAATCAATAAAACCTGCCTTGGGGGTTGGTTGCTCCATTCCTCACTTCTGAGCAGCTGAGCAGATCCTGTGATCCCTGATGCGGAAGGAAAAATTAAGACTGCAAAGGTCACTTTCCTGAAGTCCTTTAGCACTGGAGACTGTCTGTTAGGGAAGCAGAAACAACCTCGGGTTATTTTAAACCACAAGTTCCTTAAATTGTAACCTCAAGTTTGCACCGAGAAAGGAAGTGGTCAAATCCTCCACTGAACAACACAATCCAAATGCAAGCCATACACAATCCCCCCCCCCCTTTTTTAAAAAAATAGTTGCTATTGTTAAAAATCAGCGTGGATTATTTTATCTCGTAATTTCTTCCCCGATAGTGAGATGCCATGGCCTAAAGTATTCACTGAATGACTGTCATTAAATGTCATGCAATCATTATAGATGTTACTAGAAGGGAAGATACAACCCCTAATGCATTGTATCTCAACACTGTGTACTTTTAGACATCAACTCCCAGAATTCCTTGATAGGTGGACTTCAACTCCCAGAATTCCCCACCCAGATAGCTAGACTTCAACTCCCAGAATTTCCCACCCGGTTAGCTGGACTTCAACTCCCAGAATTCCTTGATAGGTGGACTTCAACTCCCAGAATTCCCCACCCGGATAGCTAGACTTCAACTCCCAGAATTCCCCACCAGATAGCTAGACTTCAATTCCCAGAATTCCCCACCCGGATAGCTGGACTTCAACTCCCAGAATTCTTTGATAGGTAGACTTCAACTCCCAGAATTCCCCAGCCAGAATTATGGGAGTTGAAGCCCACATATCTTAAAAGTTGCCAAGGTTGAGAAACACTGTGCAAGAATTTGCCTTAATCATGAATCAAAGGGCCACTTTAACCCGCCACGTTCATGATTTCCCGATGAAGCCTTTTTTTAATCTGAAGCCATAATGAAAAGCAAGCCCATCAACGCAGCAGACGCCAAAAAAAAAAAAGGCGCAAACTTTCCCAGCCGCGTGGGATTGGGAACCCCTCGCGCACGCGCACTTGGGCACGCTGAGCCCGCGGACCGCAAAGGGACGATCCCCAACGCGGCATTCGCTCTTCCCGCTCGCGGAGGGCCTCTTCTACGCCTGCGCGGGCCCGGCCGGAAGCGCCTGCGCTTTGCCAAAAGTGGCGAGGATTGGTCGGCGGCCGGGCAAGAGCGGGCTTTCTTGTCTTCTCCCGTGGGCGGGGCTTCCTCGGGCCGTGGGCGGGGCGGCGCAGGCGCAGCGGCCCCGCTGGGGCGCGCCGTCGTCAGTCGGTCCGTGCAGCCGCCGCGCTCGGAGGTGGGCGCTGCTTCTCCGTCTGCTGCTGCTCCTCCTCCGCCTCTCCCTCGCCTCGAGTCCGGAGTCCCCACGCGCCAGCGGAGAGTATGGTAGATGACCACGCCGCCGGACAACCCTCTTACCAGTACGGCGGCAACGGTCCAGGCATCGGCGACTACATGGCTCAGGAGGACGACTGGGATCGGGACTTGCTGCTCGACCCGGCCTGGGAGAAGCAGCAGCGCAAGGTGAGGGCGGGCGGGCAATTGGGGTGGGGGGTGGGTAGAGAAGCAGCCGCCAACTGGAGAATCGGGAAGGCGAGGGCGCCTCTGGGCATGGGCAGAGTGCTTGCTCTCCTCGAAGGCGATGCACGGGGGTGGGGGGAGGGAAGGTGCTCGCCTGCCCGCCCAGCCACCCGCGGGCATTCTCCCCGCGTGGAAGGGGAGCGCGTGCAAGCGGAGGAGGCTTCGCCCTGCAAAAGGGCCGGGATAACTTTTGGGGGCTCAAATCGCGTCTCGTGGCTGGAGAGGGAAACGGCTGGGGGGGGGGCAGGACGCCCGGGGAGCGGGGGGGCGAGAGAAATGAAGAGCCGACCCGAGTTTGCTGCCTCCTGCATTCGCCTTCCTGCCTGGGGCTTTGCGGGGCAGGCATGCCTGGGGGGGAGGGCTGAGTGGAGAGAGGAGGGGAGCCCGGGTTTCGGGGGGGGGGAGCCGCAATCGCGGCGGCTCACCCGACGACCGGGCGCGCCTGATCCCGCGCCAGGTGCCGTCCGGGGGAAAGGACGGGGGCTGCCAGCCAGCGCCAGGTTGGGGCAGCGCGATCCGCCAGCCCTGCTGGCTGGGAGTGGTCCTGAGTCAACGGCCAGGAAGGAGCCGGTTTGGGGAAGGCGGGGGGGTGGTGGAAACAGGGCGCTTGGCACCTCCACGGGGTGCGCCTGGGCAATGGGCCGACGGGGGGGGGTAGGCTGCGAAGGAGAGAAACTGGCCGTGCCTTGGAGGCGGGGCTGGCCTTGTAGGCATCTATGGGCTTTGGAGTCCTGGCTTGGATGTGCAATGCAGAGGTTGGAAAGAAAAGGGGTGGGGGTGGGGAGCAGGCTCCAGGGGTTTTCTGCTGGAGGGGAGCATGAGAATTTGGAGCACCCCAAGTTGGCGTGGAAGCTGCACCCCAGGCAGGGGCAAAGGATTAAATCAGGAAAAGTGGCAGGGCTTGAGCCAACCGAAGCTCCAGAGGGTATTCCATTGAAGACAGGGACCCTTTGCTCCAGGTTGGCCTTGGGAGGGGCGTCCCGGATGCTTTGTATGTGGGCACCGGAGCCAGCCTAGGGGGTTGGCTTGGAGGCTGCCAGGCGAATGGCTCTGTAGACTTCAGGCCTGTCCGGGCGAGATTTGGAAAGGCAGGGGCGTGTGAACCCGTGATGTCTGGCCTGAAATGCTGCATGCTTGCAGGGGGGGGCGGGGAGGGGTGGAGAAGGTGGCATGGCTGACCTGCAGGGTCAGAATTGGATTACCTTCCTAGAGGGCATGAAGCTTGGCTGCCAGTCAGGGTGACTGGTGTTTGCCTATAAAGTGGGGGAGGGCAGGGAGAGAAAGGAACGGTAGTGCTGGGTGGGGCACTTCCATTTGCCTGCCAAAGGGCTGCCAGCCAGCCTCCTCCCCCCTCCCTCCCTTCCCTAGACAATTATTCATCCAGCACTGTGGGGTGAGATGTGAGATTAGAACTGCTCCCCCCCATCTTTTTAGCTTGTGAGTGTGGGAAAAACTGACTTTTTCAACTGCAACCCCATCCCCTGGGAGCTTGGAGCTACTATGAGTCGATTGGGGTGCCTGTACATCTTCCAAGTATGAAAATGGCATGGGGGTTCGGGGGTTGCTTTGGAGCAAAATTCTCCTAATCGCCCTCCCGCCCCATATAAGCGATGCTTTGAATAGTCACTGTCTTGCAGAAGAGCAGAAAATATTTTCTATTCCCCCCCCCCTTTTTTTTTCCTGATTCGGCTTACATTTGAACAATATAGTTCCCGAGGGAGGAACAGTAATTATAAATATATGAATAAATATATGTTGTTATAAATACGGCTATGTCAGGTGTAATAATAATAATGCAGTACAATTGTAATTTATCCCAGGCACTAATTTTAGATGATTGCTACATTTTAAGTTCGTTTCCCTTTTTTTCCCCCCCACCCCTTTGTAGTTAGAAGGCACCAATATTGCCTGGTTTTGGTTGGCCCTGGGATCAAAGAGTTCCTGTCCCGCCCCTCACTTGCCTTCCTGTTTCCAGCCTTGTCCCCAAGGTCAGCCCTCATGTCCGATGGAGCTGACCCATCCAGTTCCTGGCCTCTCTCTTACAAAAGCAGCAAATATCCCTGCCTCTTACTTCTACTGCCAGTGATGTAACAAAATAAAAAATGTTGGGCTTAGTTGGGGTCGTAAGTTGAGGACTACCTGTACATGCAAACAACAGTTTCGGGACAGTCAGAAATCTTAAAACACCGTGGCATGAATTCTCTAGCAAAATGCTCTGCATCTCTCTGTGCATTTTGGGTGCGAGTCTCAGCTAAATCCAGGTTGTATTTTTAAACTCCTCCCAACTCCTTCACCCCTGAGTCAGAAGCATATGCATGCATTTTGGTGCCTCGAATCTTGGAAAATTGCATAATTGTTCTAGCTTCAGAGAGCGAGGCTTGCTGCAGGCAGCAGAGATGTGAACTCCGAGATGTCTGAAGTTGTTGTGTTACTATTTCCCCCCCCCCCCCTCCTGACCTTGGTGGGTGGTCTTGTTATGGCAGCATGGGTGCCTCTGGATCGTTTGTAGATACACAGATCTCACTTGTTTGTAAGGCCTATTGAGAAATGCAAATAAAAACCCAGGTCTTTAGCAAGAGTGAGCGAGTGGATCGTTTCGATTTTGTGTCTGTGGGTGTGGGGTTTTTTTTCCCCATTCCACTCCAGTGTCTGTCATCTTGCTAGTTTTTATTCCTTATTTTTGTTTGTTTGTTTTTCAGTTGTGCATTGTTAAGAGTCAGGTAGCATGCAGTTGAAATACATTAAGCGGTAAGCCGCCCAGAGTTGCTTTTTAGATGAGATGGGCGGCAGATAAATTTAATAAATAATAGTAAACCGATAAAATAGTTCCGAGTGGTTCCTGTTATGAAGTGTAACCATGCAAGCGTAACCATGATGCCGTGATTTTCTCGTTCCTCCCATTTATTTCTGTCTGAAATAATCCTCATCTAGCTCTGAATTGGCCAAACTAGCTTTCGTCTTCTGTGTAGTGTCAAGCCCTCTTCCTTTTCTTGAGTCACTGAGTATAGATAGTCCTCGATTTACAACAGTTCATTTAGTGACAGTTCAAAGTAACAACGGCATGAAAACGTATGACTTATGACCGTTTTTCACCCTTAGAACCATTGCAGCATCCCCATGGCCACGCAATTTACATTCGGATGCTTGACAACTGTCTCACATTTACAACGGTTAATAATAATAATAATAGAGCTGGAAGGGACCTTGGAGGTCATCTAGTCCAACCCCCTGCTCAGGCAGGAAACCCTACACCGTTTCAGACAAATGGCTGTCCAGTCTCTTCTTGAATACCTCCAGTGTTGGAGCAGTCACAACTTCTGGAGGCAGGTTGTTCCACTGGTTAATTGTTCTGTCAGGAAATTTCTCCTCAGTTTGTCAGGAAATTTCTCCTCAGTTTGTCAGGAAATTTCTCCTCAGTTTGTCAAGAAATTTCTCCTCAGTTTGTCAGGAAATTTCTCCTCAGTTTGTCAGGAAATTTCTCCTCAGTTTGTCAGGAAATCTCTCCTCAGTTGCAGTGTCCCGGGATCATGTGATCCTCTTTTGTGACCTTCTGACAAGCAGAAAAAATGGGGAAGCCAGGTTCACTTATTAACCACTGCAACGATTCACTTAAGGAAGGTCGTAAAGTGGGGCAAAACCCACTTAACAAATGTCTCGCTTAGCAACAGAAATGTTGGTCTCAGCTGTGGTCGTAAGTTGAGGAATTGCCAGGATTGGAAGGACAGAGTTTCTCTGGCGGAACCGTGGCTTTTCCGAGTGCAAATCAAGGATAAAATAAGTTTCCCTTCTCGTGAGTTTGGAATTCCTCCAAGATTTGGCAGGAGGCGTTTTTTTTCCCCCTGAAGTCCGGCATGGCTGGCTGGCTTCATCTAACTCAGGACTTGTCCTTTGGATATTTGTGGGCAAATATGGGGAAGCCAACCCTGGCCATCTGGTATTCAGTGAAATGATCCGAGTTGCCAGTGGGTTTAAAGCTGAGTGAGTTATGGCGGCGGTTCAGATTCTGAATTGGCAGGAGAAAAATCCCTACAGGGCCCTTTTTTACGAACAGGGACTGCGACGTTCGAAAAGAGGGAATAGTTTTGAAGTTTTGTACTTATTCCCCACCCTGAAATTAAGGAACTGGGCAGAAATCGAGACCCCAAAGCAGTGCTTCTCAACCTGAGCAGCTTTATGAGGGGGTGGACTTCAACTCCCAGAATTCCCCAGCCAGCCATGCTGGCTGGGGAATTCTGGGAGTTGAAGTCCATCCCCTCATAAAGCTGACAAGGTTTGAACTGCTGTGCTAAAATAGTAGCTACGCTAGACTCCTATATGCTGAATCAATGCCAGCTCTGAGCAGCTAATAGCTTTTCCATGTTTTTTCTGGCATAGCTGTGGCTTGACGCGAATGCCAGCGTCTGCTTCCAAATGCTGCTTGAGTCAAAAGTTTTTGGAATAAAGGCCCCGGGGGTGTGTGTGTGTGGGGGGGCAAGACACAAGACGAAGAAGAGGTGTGCAGCCTTCAGAACGTTAACCCGTAACAGAGCTACACCTGGCTACGGGGATGGATGCCACTTTTGTCCTGGTGACGTGGCACCTGAGCGATTTACGTGGGCAGACTTGGTAAAATTGGCCCGGTCTTAGAGTAGCGTGAATTTTCCCACCAGCATCTGCTTCAGGTTGTAAATTGGATGTGTGTGTGTGTGTGTGTGTGTGTGTTTCTCTCTCTCTCCCCCCCTCTCTCTCTTTCCCTTCTCCTTCTCCCTCCTTCCCTCTGTGTGTGTGTGTGTGTGTGTGTAGGGCTGTAGATTCCACATTTGAGCCAGCCCGCAAATCCACCTCTCTGCATGTAGAAAAAAAAAAAAACAGACAATCTGGTGGGAAGTGAACTGACAAAAAGGGTTTTTGTGTGTGTGGTTTTTTTTTTTTTTTTTTTTTTTTTTTTTTTTTTTTTTTTTTTT